TATCTTATTATAAGTAAACATGAGAGGTACCTGGCCTGCTCAGTCAGTGGAGCATGTGACTCTTGATCTCGGGGTTGTAATTTCGAGCCCCATGTTGTGTGTAGATTACTTGAAAATAAAAAATCTTTTTTTAAAGATTTTATTTATTTGAGATAGACTGCAGAGCTAGAGAAAGAGCATGAGTGTGTGTGGGGGGAGGGCGAGGGAGAAGCTGACTCCTCGCTGAGCAGGGAGCCCGACCCAGGGCTCAAGCCCAGGACCCTGGGATCATGACCTGAGCTGAAGGCAGATGCTTAAATAACTGCTTAACTGACTGCACCACCCAGGCACCCCAAAAATAAAAAATCTTAAAAAAAACCCCAAAACATGAAAAAGGACAGAGTTTAGAAAGGAGGAATAGGAGTATGACCTCTAGTTAGAGGAACGTATACTGATAAAAACATAAAAAAGATGAATGAACCACAAACTCCTAAGTGAACCACATTCCGCATTGTTTCACCTATTTTCCTAATTGGGACATTCTTCCCATAGTCTCCCACATGAGAGGTATCACTTTATGATTCAGCCAAGAAATCAGATCTCACAAGTTCCCCCATTACTATCCCACTGTGGGCATGTTCAGTCATGTGCAACCAACAGCACACTTAAAACAAACTTAGCCAAAAATCAGATCTAGTGTGCAAGAGCCAATGAGCTCAGAAATGAGACTCATGGGTGTAGCCAAGGAATATGAGCTGAAGACAAAAAGGGCCCAGATCTACCCTGACCCAGGTAGACATTATCTCTAGAAATAAGTGATCAGAAAGTAATTCAGAAGCATTTAGTTACTTGCACACTAATTACCATTTTTCATGCACCTAACTTATTGACAGATGAAGCAATCAGTGGAGAGACTGAGTCAGGGATGAAGGCAAAATAAAGATGTGGTAAATTTCTACATTGGTGGTCCCCAGGGAATGAATGAACTTCTCAGTATCCATGCCCCTTACATGTTGAACCTGAGCTTGGTTACCTGACTTGCTTTGTCAAGGGGACATTAGCAAGTGTGATGAATACAGAGGCTTGATAAGTACTTACACCTTGGAGCTTGTCCTCTTGAAATGCTCTCTGTGGAAGCCACAGCATGTAAGAGGTTCAACCACCCTGAGCCAGCCATGCTGTGAGGACCTCAAAACCAGCTATGTAGCTAGGCCACACTGAAAAGCAATGAGGTGCAAAAGAGGCTTCTTGGGTCTTCCAGATCAGGTGCCACAGCCACTAGCTAAATGCAGCTGAGTGACTCCAGCTGATGCCATATGGAACAGAAGGAACTACCCAGCCAAGCTCTCAGACAGTTTAGTCCACAGAATCGTTGTTTGAAGCTGCATTATGCAGTGACTTTTATGCAGCAATAAATAAGTACAACACAGGATTTATAAGAGAAAGGGACAAAAAAACACTGCATTCTGAGAACAGTGAATTTTATTTGTATGTTTGAGGTAAATTGATTAGCTGGCACCAAGCAAAGTGGTCAGTCTGAAATTCTATCTTTGAATAAGTTTCCTAGGGATATCAAATAAAAAAATTTTTGTTATTTACTTATTCTCAAGAAAACCCTGAGGGTTTACCTTTGGGGCATACTTGTGTAGTGTTCACCAGTGTCCTTTCATTAGCACCTTTGACCTTGTTAGTTCAGATTTGTACAATTCCCTTATTAGGTTTATAAAAGAAAACCGAGATTGGGAAAGGCTGAGTGAGTCTGGAGGATCTGAAGCCACTCTGACCGCTAAACTTTTTTCCTTGTTTAAAAACAACACCAGAGGGCGCCTGGGTGGCTCAGTCGTTAAGCGTCTGCCTTCGGCTCAGGTCATGGTCCCAGGGTCGAGTCCCACATCAGGCTCCCTGCTCCGCAGAGAGCCTGCTTCTCCCTCTCCCGCTCCCCCTGCTTGCGTTCCCTCTCTCACTGTGTCTCTCTCTGTCAAATAAATAAATAAAATCTTTAAAAAATAAATAAATAAAAACAACACCAGGGACCTGGGTGGCTCAGTCAGTTAAGCATCTGCCTTTAGCTCAGGTCATGATCCCAGAGTACTGGGATCGAGCCCCAAGTTGGGCTCCCTGCTCAGCAGGGAGTCTGCTTCTCCCTCTCCCTCTGCCCCTCCCCTCCTGCCCCCACTTGTGCTCTCTCTCACACTCTCTAATACATAAATAAATAAATATCTTAAAAAAAATAAATAAATAAAAACACCACCAGTGGTATCAGTAGTCTGTCTAGCCCTTTAGTCAACAGTTAGGGCTACCTAAATAAAAAATGCTCTATGAAGGCTCAAGCTCTTACAGACAACCCTGGACCATGAGTTCCAAATGTGGCACTGTACTGAGGAAGCAGGGATGAAGGAGCACTGGGGTCAGGGCCCTGGAAATGGAAGCTGCTTAGTGGGGTCAAGTGGTCTATGGAAATCAGGATCTCCCTTAATGGTAGGAATATGAGCATGGGTAAAGACAGAGAGTTTAGCCAGTGACAGAAAAATACAAACTGAAACAGAGGAAAACAGAATAAAAAGCTGAAATACTCACAGAAGCACACAAAGTGAAACACAATTATACTTTATTTGAAAGATAGGGTGAATCCATCACTGGTGACTGGAGCTCTGAGGCTACACTTTCTCCTCAGGGAGGTGGGCTGGAATGGGGTGAGCTGCATTTGGCAGGGGCTGTGGTGGTTTGAGATCTGGGTAGATGAGAATTTGAGTTTTTTAAGATTGTAGCACCTCTCACACCAATCCAGAATCCACCTGTGTGTTCTTTTCACCTCTATGCCCCCCATCAAGCCTATCTTCCTGGGGCATCCCCAATTTTTCTCTACAAACCTGTCACTGGCCTGGCTCCCCAGCTGGGCCTCAGGCCGGTCTCCCCAGAGTAGATGATCAGGATCATTGAGGAAACGCTGGCTGCGTTGGCATGTTAGGCAAGTCTGTACTGTCCAGCGCTGTCCCCTGCAGCCTGGATGAAAGTGGAGAGGAGGAGGGAAGTGCCCAGTTATTTGTAAACCCACACCCACCCCTGCAACCCAAGTCCAGGGTCCCTTTCTGAGGTTTAGGAGAAGAAAAGGTCTCCTGCACCCAGTTTTGCCTCCACTGTTTCTCAGTAAGAATTCCAACACTCCCCAAGTTTGAATACAAATTTGACGCATCTTACCTCTGCTTAAAGTCTGTCAATTTCTTGGTATCCCTTAAGATAAAGTCCGAACTCCTTAACAAGCCTCTTCAAGATCTGCCCTGTTTCCTTCTTCAGCCTCATGTTTTTTTGCCCTTGCCTATCTCAAACTCCAGGTTCCTGAACTCTGGTCTCCTTGACAGCACCACAAGCTCTCCTGTCTCAGAGTCCTCACACATGCCTAGAATTTCCATTTCTCACTCCGTTTGCTTATCATGAACCGCACGACTACTAGTATAAGTAATTTAGCATTTTACTTCCTCAAGTAAAGCATTTTTCTACACTATCTTGTTTCTTAGTCTGTCCTATCAGACTATAATTTCAGTGAGAATAATGGATCTTGTACAATACTTGACTCATCTCAGAAAAATATTTGTCGAATGAATGAACGAATGGTGATGTGAATCCTGTCCTCCACCATACAAAATAACATCTATTAGTATGTATGGGTGGGTTACGCCTTATGGCAACATCATTCCCTACTGCCTTTCCTTAGTTGGTCCAAGTGAAGTTAGCAATTCAACCCAGAGCTGGAAAGAGCCGGCTGCTGTAAATCCCACGCCCGACGCCCATCTAAAGCGAGGAAGGGGGTCTCCTCCCCAGCCCACTGGTGCTCCTCAATCACCCCCACATCATCAGGAGCACTCACGTCTCTGGCGCTGGGTGCAGGTGAGGCCCGGGATGAGGAGGGAAGAGCAGCCACGACAGAGGGTCCTCTTCACCGAGGGGTCCCTGCGGACGGAAGGGGATGGTGGTCCGAGCGCCCGCGCTCCCTCTCCCTTGCTTCGCGCCCGCCGCCAGGTTCCCTGAGCGTCTCACCGCCGCAAGACCAGCCGCTTTGCGATGGTCCTCTCCGTGTGGCAGTAAAACCTCGCCAGCGCCTGGTTCGTGGGGTCCTGCGCAAGGACACAGTGGGCGGCCTGGGGGAAGGAAACCATTACTTCGTGGCCGGCCACATCCGGCCGCCTCCCCGTACGCCCCGACACGCGGACTCACCTGGTACAGGAAGCTGAGCCTCTGGAAGGCCTCGCGGTCCTTCACCGGCCCAGCCATCTGCGTCGCGCGAGTCCCTCACACACGACAGTCCGCAGGTCCCGCCCCTCCGATAGCCCCGCCTCAGGCGCCCGCGCACGGCCTCCTGGGAAGTGTAGTTCCTGGGCCCGCGAGGCTCCCTCCGCGATCCTTACTCCGGCGCCACCCTGCGGCCTCAGGGACCCCAGTTATTTGTAAACCCACACCCACCCCTGCAACCCAAGTCCAGGGTCCCTTTCTGAGTTTTGGCTACCTTCTAGTCTTCCTCAAGCCCATGATCAGTTATACTAGGTAGGAAAGTCTAGTGAACAGGGGAAGACCTTAAACTGCAAAACATTTTTAGGACACAAGACTGGTCTCTTTATGCAGATAGGTTGGGGAGATGCTTATGTGCAATTTATACCCAGCTAGAACTTCTGCCCTACGCTCCTGAAGCCAAAGGCAGATGCCTGAAAGATCTACAGACTGAAGGAACAGAAGTTATACATTCAAAAAAAGCACTGGTACCAGTGGGAGTGAAATTGGAAAGGATCATGAGGGTGGTCAAAGGAAGGAAGCACAGCTTATTCCCATTCTTTTCCACTTACCAAAAAAAAACAAAACAAAACACCCCACTTCCTATTATGCAGTGCTGGACACACAGTAGGTGATCCTAGCTAACTTCTAGTCTTAGGTACTGGAGCACAGAAACTTTTGATATCTCCTGCTCCTGAAACTCACCCCTCCTCCACCTCCCCTATTCCAATCATATACTTCACATCCCTTACTCTGACCTGTCTCCTGTTTGTTCTGTTTGACATCCTGTGTTTACTTCTGCCTCATAGTTAATGACCACCAGTTCCTGAAGTCAGAAGTAGAGGGATGTGAGCTGGAGCGGCAGAACATGAATGAACCTTGAGACAGGGAAAGGGTAGCATTAAGGAGAGAAAAAGGCCTCTCTCCCTTCTCAAACCCCAACAGGCCATGCAGGAAACCAGGCCTCCAGCTCAGAAGAAATGGCCAAAACCTCCTCTGGGATTAATTTCACAAGGATCCCTAAATTCAAATGAGGAGTATGTTTACAATGTAGACATCCAGGCCCACCCCAGACCTTGATTAATCACTGAGGGCAAACCCCAGGATCATGCATTCTTAACACCAGTGATTCTTACACATCAACACAAGGCCATCGTCAAATTACCACACAACACAGAGATCACTTCAGTGGATCCTTTGTTCCATATTGTTTTACCAACCAAAGCATCTTGCCACAAAGAACCACAGTCAAGGCACAAAGGTAAGAGGAGAGTCTGGACAAAGTCCTGTTGAGGTGGTAGGAGGAATTGAAACACCCTCAATAAACTGCAGTTTGTTGTCCCAATCTTCTGTGAACCCCTGATCACCCAAATAGCAGATATTCCAAATCATTTTAGTTCGGTTTGGCATGCATAGCTTTAACCTTTTTTGACAACATATGTACCCTACAAGTTGTTTATTTTGGCCTAATGTTAAAATGATTTACATTCTCTGATAGGGGAAATGGCAAAAGGTGAAGGATGGCAACAAATAAGCAAAAGACTGGCTCCTGTGAACACTAGTTCCAGGCCATATGCACACAGGCTAAAGGAAGTTGCCTATCTTACCCTTCCCTCTACACACCCTCTCTTCTACCCTGTCCTCAGGGTGAGGAAGACTCTATTTCCTTTCTCCCTTTTTGGCTTGGACACCTTAGCCAAGGAACAAGGCTGACAACTTGGGAGCAGCTACTTAGTAACATTCTTTAAGGCCAGGGCTTTGGATAGAAAAACCTTTCTCTTTCCTCTAATACCTGACTGTCCTTTCCAGGTTCCCTTGGGAAAGCAGTGAAAGGGTAGATGTGTCTTGAGGGGTCTCTGGTACCTCATCTCTGCAGGAGAAAGGTGACTGACTGACATCTTAGAGACAATCAACTCAAAGGAGGCAGGCACTAAGCCAGCTTTGCTGAAGGCTGAGAGAGGGACCCGATTTCTCCTCTCCTTTCTTCTCACCCTTTCCTCCCCACATTCCTACCTCTGGCCAATCCTACTCATAATGGCAACTTACTCTGGGAATGGAAGACCAAAGAAACCCCTTTCCCCTTCATTGGTCACTAGGAATCTGTTCCTTTAGCCCCTTTCCCAACTTTCTTTCTAATCTTGATGCTCAATCTCTGCCCTCAAAAACAAACAAACAAACAAAAAAAACCTCCTTAACTTCTAGACCCATAAGAGCAACTATCATTCATCTTTATTTTAGTCTAGAGGTACACAGACCCCTCTGATCTTCCTCAAGAAATAAGACCATTCTGGGTCAAAGAACCCCCTAAAAGGATGTACAGGGGTTTCTGTTTCCTCTTCTGGTTTTGAGCAAGTCAGACCCTCCCACAGACTTTCTGTTTCCGGAAAAGCCTCTCCTTCCTTCCCAACCTATCCATGTGCAATAGAAAAACCTGATGGACTTCAGGGGAGACAACCCCTGGGAACTAGCTCCCCACTCTGACAGAAGGGAGACACAGCTGTGCTCTCATCCCAGACCAGTCCTATCTACTCCTCCATATAAACCATTCTAGAAACCAAGATGCCTCTCCTAGACAGTGCAGGACTGGAACCAGGCAGACACGAAGACGTTCCAGCAGGTCACAGGAAGGAAGGCCCATAGCTCTTGACCCTGACTCACCCCAATTATTCCCACATCCCTACCTGTCACTCCCAATCTGTTGGGGGCCTGATGGTAAGTGGTGCAGCATTCTTCCGACCAGCCCGGATGCCTGGATAGAAGAGGGGCCAAAGTTTCTCAGTAAAAGTATCAGTAAAAGTGTAGATATGAGAGCGGTCTGTGACGTTGTAAAAAGACAGTGTGCCGGCCTCATAGTCTAGGAATATGCCCACCCGCTTGGGTTTCACCTTGATGTGCAAAGGGGTAAAAGGCGTGGTGGTGGCTGCATATTTGTCCCCATTCCATAGCCGCACCCGCCAGTAGCCAGTCTCAGGGAGTGGAGTCAGCTCGCCCTTTCGGCTCACGGAGTCCCGGCACACGCCCACTGCCCAGTGGGTCTTATCACCCACCTCCACCTCCCAGTAGTGTCGGCCTGAGGTGAAGCCCTCAGTAGCCAGGACACAAGGGTAGAAGGTGAACCGCCGTGGTGTGTCAGGGAGATCCCGGAGTCTTGTCTCCACAAACTTGACGCTCTTACGATCTTCTGACAGGACTAGGTTAGGGTGAGCAGTCTCTGGGTCCAGGGTCACATCCGCTGGCGGGAGAAGCCAGAGTGGGGAGCTAGATGAGGATGGGAATAGCTAAATGCCCCTGCCTCACTCTTCCAGCCTGCCTTTACAGAGCCTGCTTCCTTAAAGGTCCCCAGAACACCGTGGGGTTTGGTTAACTTTCTCAATCCATGGTCTCACCTAAGGGAAAGGAGGGAACAATGGCTTCCCTTCTCACCCTGGCCCTAAAGTAAACAGCTAATGATCTCTTGATTCTGCAAGGGCTGATGGTTTAGGCTCCTGCCTGATCCCTTCTCCACCACCCTGTGACATCATCTCACTATGTGAAGAAGCACAAGTCACAGTCTAAGGGCCAGAAAGAACAGAAAATGTTTAGAAGGATACACAGCAAGACAGCATTATGGTCTAGGGATAGGGTGACCATGTATCTGGAACTGGTTCACGACAATTTTCTTTGAGTAAATATTAATGATACTCCCTTTCACTCTCAAGGCCGGGGGGGCGGGGGGACAAGTTTAGGCATATTATTTAACCTCTCTGGGTGCCTATTTAGAAAAGTGTGGACCTAAGAGTAGATGACTCCTAAGCTCTGTTACTCATAGTGAAACTGAAAGCCAGGTAAAGGGATAGGCACAAAAAGTGACAGATGGGATAAGTTAAGTCCAGATAAAGTGGGATCTAAAGACTTTCTTCTCTGCTGATTCCCTCTGCTAGTTTACTTTTGGGAACAACTCACCAATTAGCTGTTTAAGGATTTTCCTTAGGGCAAAGTACTGTCGGGGGAAATTGCTGAAGTTCTTTTCCAGCTCTATAGACACTGAAGTCACCTCCATGGTCTTCACCTTCTCACATCTAGGAGGGATAGGGAGATAGGGGAAGAAAGGGCAGGGTCAGGGGAAGCTCCAGCTGAGTGAGTATGCAGACTATTTTAGATGAATGATAGTCCCTCTCTTTAGGGAGAAACTAAAATTCTCCATCCTCCCACTTTCTCCCTTCTCTCTGAAGACAAGTACTCACTTACCGCTTTCTTTTGCCAATCTATGGAGAGCCATATGGCTCCCTGAACAGAGCCTTATTTTAAGAATGAGTCTCAGAACTTTCTGGGGGTATGACTATATTTCATGCAAGTAGTAATCACTCTCCCCACTCTCCCAACCCCTTCCTTTGTCTGTCTTGTTTGGACACATTTCCACCCACAGGCACAGGGAGAATCTGGTTCTACATTACCTTGGTATCTTCCTTACCAGGTTAGTCCTGATGCTCAAAGGGGAAAAGGTAATGGACTATTACTCCCAATGATTTGCTCTCTAACTGGCTTCATGGATGCAATGAATCTTCTCCCACATCCTACCCAGACACTGCGTGACTTTCCTATCCTTCTCCCCTAACTCCTTACTGTACTCCTGGTCTCTAACCTAAGACCTAACTCACTCAAAGAGATGCAAGAATCACTTACTTTTCCAGGGTACTTTTGACATCCTAGAGGGAAGGAGAAAAGAAAGCAATATTGGTCCTGGTAGTCAAGGGTCCTACAGGCAAAAGGTTCCCCCCTCCCCAAAGTCTTAGATCTATACAATAGGAATAGGGCAAACTAAGGGTCACAATGCAAGGGGAAGAGCTACAGAGGGATCTGAGTACATCTCTCGACCTGATCCCTATTTTCAACTTCTGGTTAGCACGAAGCTTGGTAATTTTTATCACTTCCAAATGGTTTCTTGTGTCCTTGTCTTGCTCCTTAAGGACACTGGGAGCTCAATGCAAAGGACATTTGCATTGTCTGCTCTTTACTCTGTCCCCCAAGTACCAACCACACACCTGTCTCCTTGAGGATCAGTATAGACTGGTGGCATAGGAATGAATCACACTTTCCTGTTGTTGTTTATTATCCCTGTCTGGTACTGGTTAATAAATATTAATAACTGTGTGCCAATCCTGATTTGTGAATACTTGGGGTCCAGCAGACAAAGAAGAGAAATCTCTGCCCCCCAAGGATTTCCCAGTTTAATGTGGAAGGCAGAACACACATACATGAAGGGACACAAGAATAAGTACCAAGCAATACATAACATGCAGATAAATGTACAACGAAGCCTCACTGATTCAAATGTTGGTAATCTGATCTCTAAAATAAGAGACATATTTCCTACAGCCTTGCTAACACCATTCATCTGCTTAAAAGAACAAATTATTTCAAACATTTTAGAGGCATTATTTACATATCAAAATTAATATATTATTTATACATAATTTCAAGTGTCCTTCAAACTAGGTTTGTATTTTTTTTTAGCAGTAGGTAAATCAAGTTCCAGGACCTAAAAGTAATGGCAACTACATTTACATAATTTTTAATGTATAGTTTTTTTCACTAATTCAGACTCGATTTCCCTCCTTTCAAATGGAATTTTTTTCTTTGGTACAAATTAAGCACAAAATTGTTCACAAGACATAAGAACATAGAAATGATTAGAAGGGGATGGGAGAAATCAGAGAAGCCTTTCTATAGAAAAAGATCCTTTGAGTATGTCTGGAATAAAGAACTGGATTAGAGAAGCAGAGCAGAAGAGTGAGCATCCCAGGTTGACAGAATGGCCTGTGCAAAGCTATACTGCACTTGATCTGAGGGGCTATACAGGGGCAAAGGTCGAACCTTAAGCATCTCGAAGCCTGACTGTAAGCACTTGCCCTCCACCTCAGCAGCCAAGTGGGCCAGGTCCCGGCGCTTGTCTCCAAGGTGAGCAGCATTTTCTCGGAGGCGCTGTAGAATGTCTTGTTCCTCCTCCTCCAGTCGTGAAAGCAACATCTGCTGCTCTTCATCCAGCCGCCTATGAAGCTCTTCAAATTCCTTTAAGATCTGTTGCCGGCGACATTCCACTAGTCTCTGAGAAAAGTGGGAAGGTGTTATATTTAGCAGGGCCAGTGGGGCCTTACCCTACCCACCATGTGTATGAATTAACACAGACTTCCAGTGTCAATGGAAATAGCTTAACAGGATACTCATGTTTCTCTCCATTGAAATTTCCTTCTGTAAGTAATGGCTCCTTCCCCAATGTCACCCTTACTGATTACTCGGGAATGAAGACCACTGGGGAATTTTAAAAAATCAGTGTTTAAAAAAATTTTAATTTTATTAACTTCTTAAAAAAGCTGTACTTCTATGGTTTAGTGAAAAAAAAGCAAGATATAAGAACTCAATAATATAATGACATCTACTATTATGGATACAAGATATATCTGCTATTTCCAACTCTAAAGTTCTAGCTAATGCAATTTATCAAGAAAAGGAAAGAAATAAGTACTGGGAAGTTAGAGATGAGATGGTGATCATTTGTATATTGCCAGACATCTACCCTCTAAAAACCAGAGAACCAACCAGAATAGTATCAGAATCAGTAAGATTTTAGTAATGGGTTATTACAAAATACATACAGTTGACTGTTGAACAATAAAGGTTTGAACTGTGAGGGTCCATTTATACAAGGATTTTTTTTCCATAAATAGGGTATAGTACCATAAAGGTATTTTCTTTTCCTTATGCTTTCCTTAATAACATTTCCTTTTCTCCAGTTCACTTTGTGAGAATACAATATATAATACAAATAACATATAAAATAGGTGTTAATCACTGTTTATGTCATCACTAATGCTTGTGGTCAACAGTAAGGTATTAAGAGTTAAGTTTTTCAACGACATGGATGGAACTAGAGGGTATTATGCTAAGTGAAATAAGTCAGTCAGAGAAAGACAAATATCATGAGATTTCATTCCTATGTGAAATTTAAGAAACAAATCAAGAGGAGCATAGGGGAAGGGAAGGAAAAATAAAATAAGATGAAATCAGAGAGGGAGACAAACCATAAGAGACTCTTAATTATAGGAAACAAACTGAAGGTTGCTGGAGGGGAGGTGGGTGGGTGGGGGATGATGTAACTGCGTGATGGGCATTAAGGAGAGCACGTGATGTAATGAGTGTTGGGTGTTATATGCAACTGATGAATCACTAAACTCTATCTCTGAAACTAATAAAAAAAAGAGTTAAGTTTTTGGGGAGTTGAAAGTTATATGCAGATTTTCCATTGCACTGCTAACCTTGTTCAAGGGTCAACTGTATATAGATTTCAGGGAAGAACCTGTTAAATAGTTTCAAGTCACTTCAGAGAACTGACAGTTCCCATCCCAGGAATAAGTTCCAAAAGTTTGTGAATTAATTGTTGAAATTTGAAATATGTTTTCTCTCAGCTACCACACAGAATTAAAGCTCTAACCTTCCTGAAATTTGATAATATAGTACTAAAACACCAGCCATAATACTTTCTGAAGGTTATCACCTAGCATGTCCTTCCTTTTGTACCTCCACTGCAACAAATGATCTGCCCAGATGGAGTCTCCCAAGTGTCACGTGACTGATGGGGAAAAGTAAACCCAAGAGGGAAGTAAAAGAGAAGCAGAGACAGGGAATCTGGAAGTAAAAAGTAGATAGGGGCGGAAAGGCAGGGCTGAGGGTGAATAGAGAGGGGCTGCAAAGCCAGTGTGGGCCATCGAAGCCTGGTGTTTCTGGATTTCAAGCTAGTTCTCAGCAGAGGCTGGCTAGCACTAATTCTGGAGCTGCTGCTGCTTCCCATTCCACTGCTGCATTCTCAGGTGCACACTGGAACAAAATATATTCTTACAGCATTTACCCTGTGAAAATTATAAAAGGAAACCTCACTAAAATGGAGTCAGGACGCCAGCAGGGGGAGCACTCACACCCTACCCCTGGTCAATTGTAGACCCAATTGGAAGAGATGTACCTTGCAAGTCCATCCTATCTTAACCACCCCAACAGGAGGAAGGAAGGTTTCCTTTTTGCAGGGCAACAAGCCAGCCAGTGACAAACTGTCACAACCCAGCCAATGAAAAGTCACTATACTCTGAACTCCCAGGTCACTTCAAGGACTCTTCATTTATAAGAGCCCCTCCCAACTACCTCCTTTCCTCTTTAGAAGAGTGGTCCTCTCCTTTGTTCTCTACACTTGCCTATGGATTTGCCTTAGCTTGCTTGTCCTGAATTGCAATTCTCTGCTATTCCTGAATAAATTCATTTATGCTGGTAAAGTAACTGAATTTTATTTAACCCCTAAGTAAAATACAACTTTTTTCCTTGTGTGTGTGCACACACACGTGTGTGTTGGTGTATGTTGAGAGGTGATGTATGGGTAGAGTTTAGGATTCATAACTGTGGTAAATAGGAAGCAAAAGGGCTGTCTTTTATATAATCCCATAATCCCTTCTCTTTTTTTTTTCACTCTATATATGTAGGGCAGTGGTTCTTAATGAGGTTCTTACTTCCCACTAGGGATATTTTGGAAACAAGGGGCATTTTTTTGTTTGCCATAACTGGGGGTACTCTAGTAAGGCTGCTAGCACTCCAATATGTGAGATGACTCTGCAACATGCACCGTCCTGCACCATTTTCTATGTTCTGCTGTATATTTAAAAACATAGGCCTGGACTTGAATGTCATTTTATACATAGTAATTTAAACAGAGTTAATTTGTACCCAGTTTTAATATACCTGAATTTTTCAGAAATGGCTGAATAAAACTAAGACTGTATTTTTTTCTTAGAACTTTACCAAAAGTTACTTATCATTTTGAAAAATTATGTCACCAAGAGCTAAGCTGCTTGTGGTGCTTGTCAACATTACTATGCAATTATTTCAGTCTGAATTTGTATTTGTTGCATTGTTGATGATGTCACATATAGGTACAAGGATAAAACTACATTGTGGTGTCTTTCAGGGTAGTTGTGCCCAAATATTTACATATCAGATTTTATATAAATCACTTTCCTTTATGTTGTGTGTGTGTGTGTGTGTGTATTTGAGCATAAGTCTCTTTTTAAAATTATGCAGGGAAGTTATTTTATCTATAATTTTCCCTTCAGCATGCTTAATTACTAATTATGTTTAAAAGGGGCACTGGGTCTGATTTTGGAAGTAGGGATGAGGGAGAGGTAGGAAGGAGAATTTAAATGGTCACAAAAGGAATGTTGGTGGTAGTTTCAGAGACCACTGAATTTTTAAAAACACCACAGATCTGTTCAAGCATTTAGAAGGTTTTAAAAAATTTTTATTCCCCTCTTTATCCTTTACCTTTAAGAAGGTGATCAACAGGAACAGGAAAGTTAATGACTGGGAATAAGCTTCGTTTTCACATATTTTAAGTTTCTCAGGAGCCCTCCAAAAGAACAAAGAACTTTTTTTTAAAGTTCACCTTTGCAATCAAAATTAGTTATAATTTTAAAAAATTCAAATGCTTGCTTTATTCAAATATATAAAGGACTAAGGTAGTACTTAGTAATACTTAATAATACTTGCTTTCTATCAAAATGTTGTTATTGTTAAAAAATTAGTGTTTCTACTATTTTCAAACTTGTGTTTAATTTCTGGTGATCCCTAAATCTCAACTCCAAAAATTCATTATTTCTTCTGGAAGCTTTTAATGAGGTCAAATTTCTATGTTGTCTTCTTATGAATTTGCAACTGTACTTTCGTGCCATGTCATTATCTATTTTCTCCACCGGACTGTAAGCTCAAGTAGGACAGGGACTGTGTTCTTGCTCATCATTGTTCCCCAGTGTCAGAATTTGGCCTATACTGGAAGCTTAATACATACTTATGGATTCATGCAGAGCTAGTATCCCTGATTTTGCTACATATTGGCTGTGTGATCTTGGACTAGATACTTATTCAAGTTTTGTTTCCTCCTGTGATAATTGAGGGTAATAATACCCACTTTACAAGGTATCTAAGTTCATCTTTGCTAAAGATGACCTCCAGGACTCCCTTTCCTTTGTCTTACAGCTCCTCTAGGTCCCACATGTTCATTGGCCTGAACTCTTAGAACTCTAACCTGGGCAGAACCTTAAAACCTAATGCAACCCTGTAAGTTTGGAATGTCATGGCACCCAATGAATTCATACATGGGACTCAATAAATACTTAGTTATTATTGCCACTATTAAGAATTGTTCACTGTCCAATAAAATAAGACAGATACCAAAATCTCATGCTACAAATATGGTAATGCTATGAAAGAGAAGCAAAATTATATGCAAATTAAGAAAGTTAATTTCTGAAGGGTCAAGGAAGGCTGTATAGGAAGTGGCTTTTATCCTGCATGAAGGATAGATAGGATCCTATAGATGTAGGATGGAGAGAGCAACAGTCTAGGAGAACCAACATCATCTAGCATACCTGAACTTACTTAAGAGAATGTGGTCCTAAAGTCACTGGGCAGTTCTGGGAGCTCTTTTGTTAGCTTCTTCTTTCTTTCTCCCCAGTGAACCTTTCCAAATTCTTCTCTCCTCAGTCTCTCTAAGAAACTCCTATCCCTGCTCTCTCCCTGCTTTACAAGAAAAAAGGAGACCAATGGGCGTGAACTCCCTCAACTTGCCACACGTAAGATGCTGTCTGCCCTTCCTTCACTTCCTACATCCTTCTCTTCAATACTTAAATCATTGCAAATAATTTAAGTACAATGTATAATGACAAAGAAGCCTAATAAAATACCATTGTTTTTGAGAGAACAGCATTTTTCGAATGAATCAGAACTGGTGGATTAAAGAATGTGTGGTTAATGTGTGGTTAACTGCCTGCAGAGCAGCCCAAATGGAATCATCTGCCTTTACCTTGAGCTCTCCAGGCTTCTTCTCCTCAGAGGACTTGCAGCGGGTGATCTCCTGCAGCTTCTGCTCCAGGGGCTCCAGGCACTTCTGCAATTTTTCCTGAGGGTGGGAAGTGGGAGAGGTGGCATTTAGGGTTGCCTTGTACATCCTACATTCAGAGGTTAACCCATTTATTTTAAACCATTTATTTGCTTCCTATCCATCTCATCACCTCTTGATCCCACTCCCTTCCTTGCCTGTCATTTGGGGTGTCAATTTCTGGTCCTTCCTCCTGCTGCCAGCCTGTCCCCATCATCTTCCTTGCTCTCCAAACTTTCCTCTCACTGAATCTCACAGTTGTCCAGCTGTCACCAACTCCGTGTCCTTCCCCAATCCTATCATTTTCTTACTCAAGTGACTGCCTATTATGGTCAAAGTGACTTTCTGTACTCAGATATCCTTCTTTAGACTTATCCTCCCATCCAACTCAAAGCACCTACAAATATAATAAAGTCTTTATTACTTATACTGTAAACAACTTTAAATCTTGTGTCCAAGATTTTATTAACATAATTAAACAAAATACTTGATCAGTGCTAAGATATTAAAATCTTTAGTTCCTATTACTCGAACATTTACCCTGTGTCCCAACAGTAATTAAATCCGATGCCACATTATCTATTATCTAGCCAGATACAAATGGCAGACAAGTTCAGCTTAGTCTGGTGGGGATCAGTCTAAACTAATGTTATGTATTCCCAATACCGATGGGAAAATAAGGAACATTCTGAGCCGGGGGACAGACCGAAATCAGACCACTTTTCAGTTCCTCCTAAGTTTGACCATCTCCAAGTGGTTTCATTCATTTATAAAAAATGATACATTATAAGACCACACAAAGCAATATTCACCCATAAGACTCAAATGATGTTAGGAAAAGTCAGAAAGCAATTTTGAGGCGCTCCTCAAAACTGCTCTTCTTCATGCTTGAGGATAACTGATCAGATGTAGTGTGCCCTCTGTGTATATAGCTCTGAGGTGACTAGAGAGTAAGGACCAGATACAGTCTTGCCCTCAGCTTAGGATCCTCTACCCAGGCAGTCTGCCATCCTCTGTGCTCCTCTCTCTTGCCCCACCTTGGCATCATGTGTCTGGTTCCCCACCTTGTACTCCTGTGTGGCATCATCCAGTGGCACGACGGTGTGGGCCCGGTGGGTGTGGGAAATTGCACATATCAAACATACAGCCTCCTGGTCCTCATAGCAAAAGAGGCTGAGGGCCTCATGGTGCTGGGGACAGAGGCTTTCATCTCGGATCTTCCGCTTAACAGCCTGGAGCTGCTTGGCAATTTCCACCATACTGCCTAGTTGTCGATTAGGTCGGAGACTGCGGTAGCGGGATGTTTTTCGACACACAGGACAAGGGAAGTCCCTCTCTAGGTCCTCCCACCAACGGGTGATGCAAGCTTTGCAGAAGTTGTGTCCACACTCAATGATGACAGGCTCCTTCAGATACTCCAGGCACACAGAGCAACTCGCCTCCACCTGTAAGTTCTCCAGCGCTGCAGCTGTGGAGGCTGCAGAGGCCCCAGCATCTAACAGACTTGTCTCTGCCATTATTTAACTTAGGGATGGAAAGGGGGCAGAGAGAGAAAAATATTAGTTGGAGGTTTAATTTTTTTGTACCCCTGGCCTGACATTTACTCCCATGATAAATCCTAACTCCAGTTAGCCCTATTTTGGTATTTTACATCTTCTCTTCCACTAGATTCAACTTTTTTTTTTTTTTTTTTAAAGTAGGCTCCATGCCCAGTGTGGAGCCCAAAACAGGGCCTGAACTCAGGACCCTGAGATCGAGACCTGAACCAAGGTCAAGAGTTGGACACCTAACCCACTGAGCCATCCAGGTCCCCCTCAACCTCTTTTTTGTTTCTGTTTCCAAAACCTGTGACTCCCAGCCATCAATCTATTTTTTTTTTTTCTCCTCAGCACACTGACACCCAACCACCAATCTCTTTTGTCTTTACCTCTGCTTTCTCATTAGAGGCTTCCTTCAACTCTAGTCCAGCATACTTTTCCTAATCCAGACTTATCCCACATGTATCTTAAAAACAGACCAATGTATCCCTAGTTTGACATATTTTTCTAATAGATAAGAAAGGAGCTTGGGAAACTGGAAAGTGCCATAAAAGTCAAAATATTAATTAAGATTTCTTAAGTATATTTTAAAGTTTAATATTACAGAAAAATTTTTATTACAATAGCTCTTTGAAGCATAAGCTTCTCTGCCACTGTTCTGTCACTCTTTCAAAGCGTAAGAAAAGGAATAAGTTAGGCAAGAGTAATAAGCTCTTTTCAGGAAAATTTGAAATTATTCTTTCTTGTATCAGACTAGTCTAGAGGAAGTGTGCCTTCTTGGAATGAAATGATTCACACAACATCCCGTTTCTTTGTGTGCATTTGGACATTTGGAGCTGCTGAAAAGTGATAAATATGTGGCAACTACACTAAAAAGTTTATTAGTATATACTTCTCGAAAAATATATGCTCTTGAAAAGAGGGCTGACAAGTCTTTTCTAAATATTCAGCAGTGACTGGAGTCTTTTGAAATAGCTACTGAAAACTAATTCCTTGGAGGTACTGTGCCTCCAACTAATAGGTTCTGGAGTGGTTGGGATTTAGAGAAAAAAAAGTAAAGAGTCAATCAAAGTCTCTCTCAAGTGAAGGCTCAAAATACTGGAAATGCATCAAAGGGATTTATAAAGCAGAAGGCTGGTCCCCCACTCCTTCCTTAAAAAAATCACACTTTTATCCATGAAATAGTTGATTTCTCTATCCACCCCCCCTTCCCCTCCACACCAAGGGACCCAACAGAAGAAAGGAAATTTGGTAGGTCTAAGTGCTATGAGATAAGTGGCCATGTAATGAGTTGGGTTAACAATGATTATTGTATATACTGATGGCACACATGAAAAGTGTTTTAATTTGGAGTAGGAGCTCATAATTTATTTGGACCTGAACTCTTCCCTCAACCAGGAGAGAAGTTCAGTCAGATGATTCTTCTTCACCGAAGGGAAACCAACTTTGACTAGTGAACCTGCCCCTTTCTTCTAGAAATAAGGTGGCCTCCTCACCTGGGGTGAGTTGAACTGTACGCAGATTTAGGGACCAGGATGGATCTAGACTGGCAAAGAAGTGGTGTGAAAGAGAAATGGGGAAAAGGTTAGGAAAGCAGAGAGAGGACTTTACAGCCATAGTGAGGCCTCGGGTGCCTCTGGGTTGGTCATTTCTTTCCCTCTATTCCTCGTGTCTCAGTAGAAGGGCAAACTTCAGGGACGTCCTCATTTTGTTTCTACCACTGTCCGGGGTCCCACCTTGCGACCCTCTCCTGAGCGTCGTCCACAACTCAGTCCCACCCTCGTCTCCATCTTCTCTCGCCAGATCTGGCGTAAGGGGATTGGAGAGGGGGAGAGGAAACGTCGTGGTTGACAGGGAGGGAGGAATGCGTGTCCAGGTGAGGAGGAGGTGTGACGTGAAGGTGGGATGCCCGCCGCTATGACGCAGCCGAGGCCCGCGGTGACGGCGTCAGAGTTTCACCCGGGGAGGCGAGCGGCAGCGGGACGGGGGAACGGCGGGGTAGCCAAGCAACGCCGGACGCGCTGACGTCGCCGGGGCGGCAAAACGTCCGCCCGGGCCCGAGGCGGGCGGAGGCAGCTGTGGTTACGTGCGGGGGGCCGGTGACGCAGTCGCGGGGCGCTGGGACGCGGCGTGCGGAGCCGGCCGGCAGGGGCAGGCCCCAGGGCCCGGGCGCGGCGGCGGGACAGCACCTACCTTCCCGGCTTCAGGTCCGGGAGTGCGGGGCGCGGAGCCGCCGGAGCGCTGCCTCCCTCCTTCCTCCTCCCCCCGCCCCCGCCCCGCAGCGCGACACACAATACTCGCCGGAAGCGGAAGCCGCGCCGAGAAGCTCGTGTCAGTGGAAGCCCGGGTGTCGGCTCGCTGCCGTGGGAAGGCCTAGCGGTGCTTGCGGGAGGAGAAGGAGGGGGGCCAGAGGTGAGAACCAGCTGGAGGAGTCAAGAGCGAGAAGGGACCGGGAGGGGCAGGTGTCTGAAATGTGGTCGTCCAGGTGACCGGAGGAATCCTCTGGAGAAAGAGGGCCGCGCATGCGCCTGGTTGAGCGCTGAAGCCCCTTTGCCCGCAGGGCACCGACGGGCACCAGAGACGGAGGCTGCTCCGCCAGGCTCCGGGGCCCGGCTGTGGCCGCGCTTGCTGGTCCTGGCTGGGGCCAGGAGCCGCTGGGGGCAGGGCAAGGGCGGTTGCGGACTTTGAGCTACACTTATCCTCTCTTCAGGCCAGTCCAGAGAGAAGGTGGCGAGCTGAGGCGGCCAGTTACGTGGCGGACCTGCGGGTCTCAGCTGGCACGTCACTTCCGACTGTTTGAGTTTTAGCCTTTTAACATTCCAGGATTAGGTAAGTTCTCCCTGCCGTGGGCTTTAAATGCTCCTCGCCCTACCCTCGCCAAGAGGGCTTAAAGACATTGTTTATCTTCCCCGGTGGAGTGGAAGTCCTGCCATTCTGCTGCTCACCTGTTTATCCTCAACTTCTCACCCGGCCCCCGCCGCAGGCAAGCTGTTAAAGTGGGTGCTAGCTAACGCCCATTCTTCCCACTTTGCGGGCTCTGACTTGAGATTGTCCCAAAGAACAGATGATGCTTGTGTGGGGACTCAGACTTTTGCATTATAGCCTCCCTGCTCTCCTCTTCTGCTGCTGGAAGCTTTGCAGGCCTGTGACTTTGGAGGAAGAGCCTGCTCAAAGAAGTGTGTTGAAATAGGGAGGTGGTGCTGAATAGAGGTGATGGAGCTGGGGAGGACCTAGTGCAGGGTAGAGGTGTGATGAGACTGGGGAGGAGTTAGTGCTAGGAGTGTCTGATATTGTTCATGGAAAAGGCAGCTTATCCCACACCTTCTCTCCCACAACACTTGGCATGCAGAATGAAAGACATGGGCAGATTTTAGTGTACCCATTTCTAGGAGGAAATGGCCCAATGGCCCATCTTGTTCCTGTGTAAGTTGTGATGTTGTTTATAAACACAATGCAGTATTTAACCTTTCATCCTGGGAGCCAGAAACTATTTACTTGCAGAAAATACCAAATGTGTGAGGTACAGGGATTTAGGATCAGGCATACTAATATAATTGGTCTCCTTGTCCTTTTTTTTTTTTTTTCTGGTAGCCAATGATTTGAAGAGGATTAAACTTGGGAAAATTACGTTTATTTTTTTTTTTTCTCATTGTTATTTGACTGTTAGGAATTTTAGCAGTGGTAAAATTTGGTTTACAAAACGCCTCAATTTTTTTTTTTTAAAGATTTTATATATTTATTTGAGAGAGCACGTGTGAGAGAGAGATCAGGAGCAGGGCAAAGGGAGAGGGAGAAGCAGACTCCCAGCTGAGCAGGGAGCCCAATGAGGGACTCGATCCCAGGACCCCAGGATCATGACCCCAGTGGAAGGCAGAAGCCTAACCAACTGAGCCACCCAGGTGCCCAAAACACCTCAGTTCTAAGATAGGGTAGTTTGAAAGCCACTAACTGGGGGGTCATCCACTTTAGCTTTGCTTTGGAGGGTGGGTGATGATGGTGAGGTTTGGTTCTGGTTTTGATTTGTTCATTTGTAACTTTTAAGGTGTTGCTAGCATTCCATTCTGGCTTCCTGTTTGTAGGTGACCATTCTGAGGAGGAAGTGTATTTCAAAGGTCTGTTAAGAATGTTTTTGCCTGGAGACTGATTATTAAGATTTTATACTGAATATGGAAGGAAAGGTGAGAGAATGTTTAGATAAAAATATAAAATTATGTAGGTCATGTACTATGATACAGAATAGGGGTTGGCAAACCTTTCCTGTAAAGAACCAGGTAAGCTGTATTTTCTGCTTTGAGGCTCATACTTTTCCTCTGTATTTGTAGTGTGAAAACAGTGTTAGACAATACCAAATAAATGAGAATTGTTTTGTTCCAATAAAACTTCTTGTATGGATGCTGAAATTTGAATTTTATGTGTCATAAAATATTTATTTTTCTTTTGATTTAACCCCCAATCATTTAAAAATGTAAAAACCATTCTTAGACCGACCCCTGACATAGAACAATAATGAAGTACCCAGGATGTTTCAAGAGAGAGTAAGTAATTGGGAACAAGTGTGAACACAATGCTGTGATATCTTACTTCCAGCTGTCTATATAATAATACACAAAATAATAATAAAGGAAATCTTAAATCTTAACTCACATTTTGTTATTATGACTTGTGAAACTTGGTAAGCTGAGATTTATGCACGTAGTAGGATACAAGTACATTCTTTAAAATAAAGTGTATTCCTTGTTCAGAATTGAAAGGGATTGTAGTTCAGGAGATGTGGAATTATGCTGAGTTATAATGTTGATTTATTTATATCAAGGCATTTCCACCACAGGAGTATGCAAAATTTCATTACAGTAATGAGAAGAAGGAGAATTAAAATTAAAAATATATATACATTGTAATATATTTTTTAAAATTTATACTTAAATTCAACTTAGTTAACATACAGTGTATTATTAGTTTCAGGAGTAGCATTTAGTGATTCATCAGTTGCATGTAAGACCCAGTGCTCATTATATCAAGTGTCCTCCTTAATGCCCATCACCCAGTTACCCTATTCCCCGCTTAATTCCCCTGCAGCAACCCTCAGTTTGTTCCCTATAGTTAAAGAGTCTCTTATGGTTTGCCTTCCTCTGTATCTTATTTTATTTTTCCTTCCCTTCCCCTATGTTTATCTGTTTGTTTAGAAAATTCCACATAGGAATGAAATCATGTGGTATTTGTCTTTCTCTGATTGACTTGTTTGGCATAGCATAATACCCTCTAGTTCACTTTGTTGCAAATGGCAAGATTTCATTCTTTCTGATGGCAGAGTAATATTGCATTCTGTATATATACCACATCTTTTTTTTCCCTCTATAAGTGGAAAGCCAAATTGGGCCTTTTTTCTTTTTTTTTTTTATTCTTATGTTAATCCCCTACATTACATCATTAGTTTTAGATGTAGTGTTCCATGATTCATTGTTTGTGCATAACACTCAGTGCTCCATGCAGAATGTGCCCTCCTCAATACCCACCACCAGGCTAACCCATCCTCCCACCCCCCTCCCCTCTAGAACCCTCAGTTTGTTTTTCAGAGTCCATCGATTCTCATGGTTCGTCTACCCCTCCGATTTCCCCCCCTTCATTCTTCCCCTCCTGCTACCTTCTTCTTTTTTTTTTCTTAACATATACTGCATTATTTGTTTCAGAGGTACAGATCTGAGATTCAACAGTCTTGCACAATTCACAGTGCTTACCAGAGCACATACCCTCCCCAGTGTCTATCACCCAGTCACCCCATCCCTCCCACCCCACCCCCCATTCCAGCAACCCTCAGTTTGTTTCCTGCGATTAAGAATTCCTCATATCAGTGAGATCATATGATACATGTCTTTCTCTGTTTGACTTATTTCGCTCAACATAATACCCTCCAGTTCCATCCACGTCGTTGCAAATGGCAAGATCTCATTCCTTTTGATGGCTGCATAATATTCCATTGTATATATATACCACATCTTCTTTATCCATTCATCTGTCGATGGACATCTTAGCTCTTTCCACAGTTTGGCTATTGTGGACATTGCTGCTATAAACATCGGGGTGCACGTACCCTTTCGGATCCCTACATTTGTATCTTTGGGGTAAATACCCAGTAGTGCAATTGCTGGATCCTATGGTAGCTCTATTTTCAACTTTTTGAGGAACCTCCATACTGTTTTCCAGAGTGGCTGCACCAGCTTGCATTCCCACCAACAGTGTAGGAGGGTTCCCCTTTCTCCACATCCCCGCCAACATCTGTCGTTTCCTGACTTGTTAATTTTAGCCATTCTGACTGGTGTGAGTTGGTATCTCATTGAGGTTTTGATTTGGATTTCCCTGATGCCAAGCGATGAGCACTTTTTCATGTGTCTGTTGGCCATTTGGATGTCTTCTTTGGAAAAATGTCTGTTCATGTCTTCTGCCCATTTCTTAATTGGATTCTTTGTTCTTTGGGTGTTGAGTTTGATGAGTTCTTTATAGATTTTGGATACTAGCCCTTTATCTGATATGTCATTTGCAAATATCTTCTCCCATTCTGTCGGTTGTCTTTTGGTTTTGTTGACTGTTTCCTTTGCTTTGCAAAAGCTTTTTATCTTGATGAAGTCCCAATAGTTCATTTTTGCCCTTGCTTCCCTTGCCTTTAGTGATGTTTCTAGGAAGAAGTTGCTGCAGCTGAGGTCAAAGAGGTTGCTGCTTGTGTTCTCCTTTAGGATTTTGATGGACTCCTGTCTCACATTGAGGTCTTTCAACCATTTGGAGTCTATTTTTGTGTGTGGTGTAAGGAAATGGTCCAGTTTCATTCTTCTGCATGTGGCTGTCCAATTTTCCCAACACCATTTGTTGAAGAGACTGTCTTTGTTCCATTGGACATTCTTTCCTGCTTTGTCAAAGATGATTTGACGATAGAGTTGAGGGTCCATTTCTGGGCTCTCTATTCTGTTCCATTGATCTATGTGTCTGTTTTTGTGCCAGTACCATGCTGTCTTGATGATGACAGCTTTGTAATAGAGCTGGAAGTCCAGAATTGTGATGCCGCCAGGTTTGCTTTTCTTTTTCAACATTCCTCTGGCTATGCGGGGTCTTTTCTGGTTCCATACAAATTTTAGGATGATTTGTTCCATTTCTTTGAAAAAAGTGGATGGTATTTTGATGGGGATTGCATTGAATGTGTAGATTGCTCTAGGTAGCATTGACATCTTCACAATATTTGTTCTTCCAATCCATGAGCATGGAACGTTTTTCCATTTCTTTGTGTCTTCCTCAATTTCTTTCATGAGTATTTTATAGTTTTCTGAGTACAGATCCTTTGTCTCTTTGGTTAGATTTATGCCTAGGTATCTTATGGTTTTGGGTGCAATTGTAAATGGGATCGACTCCTTAATTTCTCTTTCTTCTGTCTTGTTGTTGGTGTATAGGAATGCCACTGACTTCTGTGCATTGATTTTATATCCTGCCACTTTACTGAATTCCTGTATGAGTTCTAGCAGTTTTGGGGTGGAGTCTTTGGGGTTTTCCACATAAAGTATCATATCATCTGCAAAGAGTGAGAGTTTGACTTCTTCTTTGCCAATTTGGATGCCTTTGATTTCTTTTTGTTGTCTGATTGCTGTGGCTAGGACTTCCAATACTATGTTGAATAGCAGTGGTGATAGTGGACATCCCTGCCGTGTTCCTGACCTTAGGGGGAAAGCTCTC